ACAGGCTCCCACCACAACACCTGGCTGTTTTTTGGTTGTAGCCATCATTGTTGTTTGGCAGGTCCAGGCTGGATTTGAACCCACCAGCTCAGCTGTATGTGGCTGGCACCTTAGTCTCTTGAGCCACAGGCACTGAACCAGAAACTCCTTTAACAAAACCCTAGGGCCCCAAGAATAAACCACCAGTAAGAGAAACAAGTCCCTATTCTAGGAAGGAAGAGGTCCAGCTCCAGAAGCAAGTGGCTCTGGAATAACCCTCTGCAAGGATCTAGAGGACATCAAGCTTCTAGAACCCCCTCATTAACATCCCCCACCAGACTTTGCTCTCAGAGGTCACAGCAAAGTCACTATCAATGAACCCTAACCACCAGCAAAGACACTCAGATCCCCATTACTATGGGAGAGAAACACTCCACATAAACAAAAACTAGAAGGGCAGGGGAGACAGCCTATAAAAGTAGGGGAAGGAGGTGTAAAGAGATGAGCACCAATCTTTTAAAATCACATATTTAAAGAAAAATAACTTTCTGATAGGAAACTAACAACATAAGCATTTTAAATAATAATAGCTGAATTTTGAGTTCAAAATAATTCCACTCCTGAGGTTTAAAAGACAAATAGAGGGCAGTGCCTGTAGCTCAGTGGGGTAGGGCGCTGGCCCCACATACCGAGGGTGGTGGGTTCAAACTCAGCCCCGGCCAAAATGCAACAAAAAATAGCTGGGCATTGCGGCAGGCACCTGTAGTCCCAGCTACCTGGGAGGCTGAGGCAAGAGAATTGCCTAAGCCCAGGAGCTGGAGATTGCTGTGAGCTGTGATGTCACAGCACTCTACTGAGGGCAACAAAGTGAAATTCTGTCTCAAAAAAATAAATAAAATAAATAAATAAAAGAGAAATAGAAGACACAGTAAATTTTATGTTCCTGACTCTATGGTATCCTTGGACATGTGGTGATGCTAATTAATTTTATAATAATGTCCAAAAAGAGAGCACTGATATAACTGATCAAATGTAAAGCATAAATAATCAATGAAATCAAATGCCTAACAAATAAAATATAAGCACCTAGTGGAGCTAGTAAATGACTCAAGGAAATTTAAATGTAGTAACGTAACTTCTACTAGGTAAACTTGGGCCCTGGGGTAGAGGAGAAAGATGGAGGAAAGGAAGGAGACACAGGAAGTACAGGAGGGAAAAGGAGAACCTAGTTGCTCATCTGGAAACATTATGAATATCCCTTTGTTTTAGTTCTATGTAGATCTGAGGAAGGCAAAATCTGGGAGGTAAAGTCTCTAGGTTAAAAATAATATTTCTTGGCCAGGTGCGATGGCTCACATCTGTAATCCTAGCGCTCTAGGAGGCTGAGGCAGGTGGATCACTTTAGCTCATGAGTTAGAAACCCTGTCTCTAAAAATAGCCAGGCATGTGGCAGCCACCTGTAGTCCCAGCTAGTTGGGAGGCTGAGGCAAGAGGATCACTTGAGTCCAAGAGTTGAGGTTGTTTGTGATCTATGATGCCATGGCACTCTACCAAGGAGGACAAAGTGAGACTCTGTCTCAAAAAAATAAAAAATAAAAAATATGTGTGTGTGTTTGTATTTCTTAACCTAAGTATTTAGAGAAATTAAAAGAAGGAAAGTTGAAGTTTTTTTAACTTTTTATTGTTATTGTTGTTGTTGCAGTTTTTGGCCATGGCCAGGTTTGAACCCGCCACTTCCAGCATATGAGGCTGGTGCCCTACCCCTTGAGCCACAGGCGCTGCCCAGTTTTTTTAATTTTTAAAACTGTGGTAAAATATACACAACATAAAATTTACTACCTTAAATGTACAGTTAAATGCACGGTTCAGTGGTATTAAGCATATTCATGTTGTCGTGCAACTATCACTAATATCCATTTCCAGAACTCTTTCTCATCTTGCAAAACTGAAATTCTGTACCCATTAAACAAAAATTCCCAATTTCCCCTCCCCCCAGGCCTGGCAACCACCATTCTACTTTCTGTCTCTCTGATTATGACTACTCAGAAAACCTCATATAAATGGTTTTGTACAGTATTTGTCTTTTTGTGACCAGCTTCTTTCTTTTTTTTTTGAGACGCAGTGTCACTATGTTGCCCTTACACAGTAAAGTGCTGTCGCATTACAGCTCACAGCAACCTCAAACTCCTGGGCTTAAGCAATTCTCTTGCCTTAGGCTCCCAAGTAGCTGGGACTACAGATGCCTGCCACAATACCTGGCTATTTTCTGTTGCAGTTGTCATTGTTGTTTAGATAGCCCAGGCCAGGTTCAAAGCCACCAGCCTCAGTATACCTGGCTGGCGCCATAACCACTGTGCTATGGGCACCAAGCCAAGTGATCGGTTTGGTTTATTTCACTTAGAGTAATTTTCTCAAGGTTTATCCATTGTAATAGCATGTATTAAGAATTTCCTTCATGTTTAAGGCTGGATAACATTCCATTTTGTGTGTATAAGCTCAGACAATTATGTTTGCAAACTCATCCTTGAGAAAATGCTGCATACTTCACTCCTGAATATCACTACCGTCACCTTTGAAGTACTCCTCTTGGGAAGCTATGACCAACACCAGCACCTAGTCAACCCTTCAAAGCAGTTTTGGAACTCTTTTTCTATAATAACCATCAGAGTTGTCATTCCATGGCACAGAAAAACACAGAACCATAATGAAGGCCACTCAGCAAGACACCCTCACACAACTACACCAATACACCTGTGAGACAATAATACACCAGGTTATCCAATCTCGCTGAGCTGTTTGTACAGTGCTCAGCCAACATAAGCACACAGTGACAAGTTCACAAACTTAACTGTTATGACGACAGCTCTGATGGTCATTCCAGAAAAAGAGTTCCAAAACCACTTTGAAGGTGGAGTGGGTACTGGTGTCAGTGCATAGCTTCCCACAGGGAGTACTTCAAAGGTGACTGTAGTGATATTTAGCACTGAGGTATGCAGTACTTTTTCTAGGATGAATTTGTGAACTTAATTGTCATACCTTCATATATCCCATTTTGCTTGCCCATTTATCTGTCAATGGAAACCTGGGTTGCTTTCACATTTTAACCATTGTGAATAATGTTGTATAAACATGGGTATGCAGATGTATCTTTAAGACTCTGCTTTCAATTCTTTTGGGTATATACCAAGAGTGGAATTGCTGAGTCATATGGTAGTTCTATTTCTTTGTTTTTTAAGGAACCACAATACTATTTTTCACAGTCATTATACCATTTTACATCCCCACCCACAGTATACCAGGGTTCCAATTACTTCATATTCTTACCACCACTTATTAGAAAGCAAACTTTTTTTTTTTTTTTTTTTTTGAGACAGAGCCTCAAGCTGTCCCCCTAGGTAGAGTGCCGTGGCATTACAGCTCACAGCAACCTCCAACTCCTGGGCTCAAGCGAGTCTCCTGCCTCCGCCTCCCAAGTAGCTGGGACCACAGGCGCCCGCCACAACGCCCGGCTATTTTTTGGTTGCAGCCGTCATTGTTGTTTGGCGGGTCCAGGCTGGGGATTCGAACCCGCCACCTTAGGTGTATGTGGCTGGCGCCTTAGCCGGTTGAGCTATATGCGCCGAGCCAGAAAGCAAACTTTTAAATGGACTTGTCTATACTCTTTTTAGAAAATCAATGGGTCAGATTCTACCAAAGAGCTTAAAGGAAATATCTTATTATGGGAGAATACAACCTTGGAAGCTTCTGAAGCATCATTTGGAAATTACTTGTTGACAAGAGTCTGAAAAACAAAAAACAAACAAACAAATGCTTTGCTCCTTTTTCACCTCTGAACATCTTCACATTCACAAGGAAGGCATAACATGCTCTGAAAGTGTCCTGGCAATTGCAAAACCAAACTGTAATCAAATTATAATAGTCACACAGCTGGAAAGGAATTGGGGAAGGGAGACAAAAGCCCATTAAAATGCTATAAAGCGGAATGGCACATAAGCTGATGTAATCAAAGCTGGTAACAAGGATCATGAGATTGATCAAAAATAAAGAACCATTTTCCACAAAGTGTTCATCTGTGTCACACCAGCTTACATGCCTTTTGCTAAGGCAATGTAGCTCAGTGGAACAGAACTTTTACAGGCAGCTTGGCCAAGATGAGATGACACAGGCTGTTCAGTCAGGGTGTCTTGGATGCTTCAGCTCCCACCCATAAAAGAGCAACCAGCCACGCCACATCCACCAGAACTGCCGAGAACACGCGACCGAGAGGCGTCCACCATGCGAAACAGTAATCTGGTTTCTCACGATCCGTTGACAGCCTGCCAAAAAAGATGTTAACTATTCTAACCCCAGACATTCTGCTGCAAAAAAAGAAGCCATAAAATCAGGTCCAACAAAAAAAGAAAACTGTACACTAAAAGTCATCAACTGGAGAGAACTGGATTCCCAATTTCAAAACCGACTTCTGGAAGCCAATACAAAAGAAATCTACCCAGCAGGATTTCAACTTGCACTTTTCCTGATATCTTAGTAACTCACTTCCAACAGGGTCAACTCAGATGAGAGAAACAAGAAAGTGGACGTGCTCCAAATGAAAAGAGTTTGGACAACTTCGTGCCTCACACCAAATGGATTGAGAAGTCAAACA